GCTTTTCTCGGGGTGGGTTGAGGGGGGGGTACATTCGAGACCACGCAGTAGCACCAAAGTTCATGAGGTGAATTGGACGTTCAGATCCTTCCGGGCTACTTCCGCTTTCGACCAAGCCCTGCGATGGAGTGAGAGAAGGGGAATGAGTAAAGATCTGTACACTGGAGGGGGGAAGGCCGGATAGTTGCCGACCAGCCACAAAATATTGGATGTCTGTCTCTTTAAAAGAAAAAAAAAAGAGGAATGCATGGGGGGGATTTTGTGCTAGGATAGGCCTGAGGCGAGTGTGCCGGGCTGTAGCTTGTGGGGTCTGGGTTCAAATCTCTGCCATAAGCCCCACAGAGGGACCTCAGGCCAGGCCCTGCCCCTTTCTCTCACAGGGTTGTGGGGAGAAATGTATGGAAAGCGGGAGGACGACCGCCATGTACAGTAGCTTGAGTTCCTTGGAAGAAACCCAGGACATAAATAAATGCTGCGGCCAATTTAGGCCTGAGGCCGGGAAGAAAAATAGAATGACAGAGTCGAAGGGCAGCTAAGGGTCATCTAGCTGGACCCAGGCCATGCAGCTCAACAGACGGCTGCCGAGTTCTGTTTAAAAACAAATTCTTTTATAACAGATTAAAAATGCTTTACTGCCACCAAGATACCTCCTTTTTTGAGGGGGGTGGTCCTGAGTGCCCAGAGGGGGGCGGCTTGGGATAAAGAGCCGAGGACCCTCTTTTCCAAGGTTGGGGGAGAAACCGACAACATTTTGTCGTGCGACAACAGCAGAACGCAGGCAGGATCTGCCTTACCCCCTCCCTCGAGGGAAAGACAGCAAGGCAGCCTTACCGTATTTTGCTGCTTTTGCTGCAGCTGCAGCTGCCGGATTCACGCCTGCGAGGAGGAAAATTAAAAACAAATTATTTTATAACAGATTAAAAATGCTTTGCTGCTGCCAAGATACCTCCTTTTTTGGGGGGGGGGGTCCTGAGCACCCAGAGGGGGGGGGCTTGGGATAAAAAGCCGGGGACCCCCTTTTCCAAGGTTGGGGGAGAAACCGACAACATTTTGTCGTGCGACAACAGCAGAACGCTGGCAGGATCTGCCTTACCCCCTCCCTCGAGGGAAAGACAGCAAGACAGCCTTACCGTATTTCGCTGCTTTTGCTGCAGCTGCAGCTGCCGGATTCACGCCTGCGAGGAGGAAAAACACAAGAGAGACGGAGAGGAGGTGAAACGTTGCCCTCCGACACCGGGTGACTCGGCTCTTTCGCTTCCCAGCTCAAAATGATGACAAAGCAGGTCAAAATTTCAGGGTGGTTTCCCTGCTAGACAGGCAGATCTATCTATCTATCTATCTATCTATCTATCTATCTATCTATCTATCTATCTATCTATCTATCTATCTATCTATCTATCTATCTATCTATCTATCTATCTATCTATCTATCTATCTATCTGCAAGGTGGGCGGAAAGGGAGAGAGAGGTATGCAGGGGCAGTCCCTAAACATGTTGATGCCTGACCTTGGGCACAGAAAAAGCAAAGAGGAAGACATCCACAGGATCAGTATGCACTGATTCACTTGCCCATGGTCTGAAAATATTAAAAATATTAAAAGGGGGGAAAAAAGCAGAAAACCCCGTTTTCACACATATTACCAGAATCGGCCCCTAGAGGGAGCCAGAGACCATGCTATGAATACGTTTTAGTGAAGAATATGTAGTGTGGCCAGTTCTGGTAATGCATGTGAAAAAAACAGATTAGATAGATAGTTTGCTGCCTGAGACGGAGCCCCAGCCTGAAGGAATTCTGTAGTCCAATGAACAGGCTTTTCATAAGTTCTGCAGTTTTCCCTTCCCAGGCAGGATGAGGCCCATGCAGAATTTGTCCTCCACAGGGATGGAATAACTGCCCATTTTGGGCCAGATTGGCAGAACCTCTCCTCCAGTGTGCCTCTGGAACGAATATGATGGTAGACTGCTCCCGAACATGGAGGTTCTGGGACTGAGTTGGCAATAACACATCCTTTCACTCCTTAAGTTCTCCTTCCAGGATGCAGGGAGGCCACCTACCTCTGTAGCCCAAGGCTCCTAGGGCTCCATAGGGCTTAGGGGGTTTGCCTGCAATGGGGAGGACAAGAAGGGGGTGGGTCACTCCACACATCGGCAGCAGAGCCCGGCTCCTCCCTTTCTTCCCCTTTCACCCTAACAATTGCACTTACCGCCATAGCCGCCGCCACCTGAAAAAAACCCAGACAGACAGGAGAAGCGCATTAGTATGAACATAGCACCTCCCAACCTTCTCCATTCCTCTCCACCCCCCACATTCTGCCCCTCCCCATGTCCTGCATATGCTCAGAGGCCCAGCTGCCCTCTTGAGATGAGAAGGAAGCAGTGGGGGGGTTCAAGCGTCTTTTTCAGAGGGGAACTTTACATCCAGAGAGCCCGTCATTGGAAGCGGGCATCCCTTAGGTCTGGAAAAAACATCTGATTGTCAAAAAAGACCTACATTTCTGTGGCCACAGGTCAGACATGTGCATTAAATCCCATGTGGCTCATTAAGTTCCGTGAGTCTATTTTGCCTGCATTCTGCCCCCATTCTGCCCCCACAGAGTCTTCCCACATCCATAGTCCAGAGCTTGGAAAATTAAGTTCCGTCTTTGAACTATAATTTTCCAAACCTCCCAATGGCCAAGGAGACCTGGGCGTTCAGAGAGCTGTGGTTCCCCCAGAAGTAACTTCCCCAGCACTGGCTGAAGATCGCAACATACAGTACCTGGTACAATAGGAGACAGTCCGTCTGCTGCGGAAGAGAAAAACAGGGAGGGAAAAGGGTGGGGGTGGGGTAAAAAAAAAGTCAAGGTGAGAGGTGAATGACCCATATGCAGCTTGACTCACTCACGTGAGCTCATCGTTGGGCAAGTCGAGTGTTTTGACAGGGACACCCAGTCTCTCTCTCTCTCTGTGTTGTGAATGGGGCTGTTCCCACAGCTCCTCCATGAAGTTGGTACATACAGAACCCAAGACGTCTGTGCCAGATAAAGACTGGGTTAAAGCTGACAGAAGACCTGGGTTCCGATCCCACTGCTGGCACCTCGGAGGTCTGCTGGCACAAGCTTCTAATAGAGGTTGAAAACTTAATTGACCTCCCCGCTCCCCAGGATTGGACCCAGCTTCTGCAGGGCTATCCAGAGGATCTGAAAATACTATACAGGGTGAGGGGAACAACTCAGCAACCCAGTATCCACGGTTTCACTTATCCGCTGTCTGAAAATATTAAAAATATGAAACGTTCCCCCCCTTTCTGGAAAGGAAAGTGGGGAGGGAGGATCTGAAGAGTCACCTTATTATAAAGGGAGGAGACAGTATTTATCTCGTGTTCCTGAATATTATATTAAGCGTATGTGATGGAACTAGAGGGTCTCTGAACATGTGAGGAGCGACAGGCAGTTCCATCAATAAATGAATATTCTCAAAAACCCATTCTTGTTTAAACTCGAGGGATGCCCCCCCCAGCCCTCCCTCTGCAGGATCAGAGCTGAGGGCCATATCCCAAGTGGAGTTGTTTTGAAAAACTGGACAGTTCTGTTCTTGAACTCACCGTATCGCGTAAGGCCAAGCCCGTAGCCTGTGGGAGCAAAGCAAAACCACACTTGGTTGGCAAGAGCAGTGACAACTTAGTAAGGATGTGAAAAATCCAGCCCCTTGTAGATTAAGGCCGCCTGGCCATGACGCTAGCCCTCAATGAGGAATGTCCCCATCTTGCAAGATTCCTCAGCTCTGGGAGGAAAGCAAGACAAGGAGCATCCCCCCCCCGCCGCCCAATCAATGTTGCTGGCATTTGTGCAAAAGGACTACATAGCAATCTGCTCAAAACAACGAGCCAGCTTCTTTGGTAATTTGGTACAATTATCAGGGTTTGCTAGTATCCACTGTTTTCAGCTTCTTTGGGTAGGGGCTTTGAACCCGATCCCCTGCGGATATAGAGGTCTTACTGTATTTCTGGATCAGTCCAAATATGGAACAGTTCCAGGGTCTAAGAGTGTTCATTTTCCAGACAACAACTTTAGAGAACTTTAGGGCTCAGGGTGTTCTAGCAAAGCCTCAAAGTCATGTCATGGGCTTTGGGGGAGGGGAAAAGCACCTGCCAGGCCTGATGCCCACTGTGAGCCTCCCAGCCTCTGGAACAGCATTGTCTTTCATCTGAGAAAATGATGATGGCCAGTTAATCTTCCCCAGGCACCACTTCTCCTAATTGACAGTACCACCCTGCCCCACCTCCTACCCCCGCAGCCCGAGATCTTTTTCATTTTTAATCACCTGGTTTAGGAGGTTTTGAGCCGGCTCCTGGATACGTCAACCCTATGGAACCAGATGAGATAAAAATGACAGTTTAATCTCCTTTACCTGGGGCTCCTTTGTGGGTCTCAGCTGAGTGCTTTTGACCCCCCACAGGGGAATAAAGGAGCCTTCCTCACTGTCTTAGAAATAATTGCTGTCATTCTCTTTGAAACGGAGTTGGGGACCGTGTCCAAAATTTGGGCTAAAATGTTCGTGGCACAGGGGAAAAAAATCCAGCAAATGACCACTGCTGAGATTTCCTCTCAGTCCCGTAAACTATTTTTTCCCTCTCCTTTGCCGTATTTAAACCTTCAGAGCTAAACCCAGGGCTCGGCATGAACTGGCACTGATCCAGAGTAACAAATAGGAAGTGTTCGCTGCCTTCCGAACACGTATCGTTGATGCCCGGGGGCCCGGCAGAAACCCTACAGGCCTCAGATTCAGACCTAAGCTGATGGCTTTGGAGAGGTTAGAAGATGTATTTTTCTTAGCACATCCATCCATCCATCCATCCATCCATCCATCCATCCATCCATCCATCCATCCATCCATCCATCCATCCATTCATTCATTCATTCATTCATTCATTCATTCATTTCTACCCCGCTTTTCTCTTTAAAACAACCCCAGGCAATTCTTCATTTGATTTTCAAGGCATCCTGGTGACTTCATGAGTGGGGAATTCATTTCTACCCTGCTTTTCTCTTTAAAACAACCCCAGGAGATTCTTTATTTGATTTTCAGGGCATCCTGGTGACTTCATGAGTGGGGAAAATGGACGATGGCTCTCCCCCCCCCGTCCCCCATCCACAACGGACCCACTGTGCCACCTCTACACACCCGGCGCCAGCCCTCCGGCTCCGACGCCACCATAACCGATTCCCCCAGCGCCCCCTGCTTTTCTCTTTAAAACAACCCCAGGAGATTCTTTATTTGATTTTCAGGGCATCCTGGTGACTTCATGAGTGGGGAAAATGGACGATGGCTCTCCCCCCCCCGTCCCCCATCCACAACGGACCCACTGTGCCACCTCTACACACCCGGCGCCAGCCCTCCGGCTCCGACGCCACCATAACCGATTCCCCCAGCGCCAGGGACTCCGAATCCTCCCGGTCTGCTACCGAGGCCTGGGGAAAAACAGGTGCTGTCAGAGGCATGCTCTCCACACCCACTGGTGCTGAATGTCGGGGTGGGGGAAGAATTTTAGTTCAGTTATTTTTAAAGTAAAATTTAGATTGATCACAGTTTGGCCAATTTCTTCGTCTTTGAGCAAAAAGCACTGGAGCTTCAGAATACAGTCAGAGCCCCTTATCCACAGGATCAGCATCTGCTGATTTTGGGAAATATTAAAAGAAATATCCCCAAAATATCTATTTTCAACCATGAAGTTACCAGAACTGGCCCTTACAGGGAGCCAGAGACCAGGATATGCATTATAATAGTGTTTGCTATAAGCTGCGTTTTTTCATGATCCGGAAGGGGTCTTGGAACCGATTCCCCATGGATACAGGGGTCCTGCTGTATTCAAAGGGACAGAAAAACCCCAAAATGGGCAGATTTGTCTCCAGAAACAGCCTGTATAATTACAATTGTAAACCGCCCGGAGAGTGCTTGTAGCGCTATGGGGCGGTATATAAGTCCCCAAAAAAAAAAAAAATTTCAAGGCAAACAGTTCCTTACATGACAAGAGTGCTCAGTTTTCAAGGAATTCTCCTTTTTTTTACATCTCCCTTATATTACATGTAGGGAGATGAATTGCCAACTTTTCCCAGGTGGGGCTTTGAACCGACTGTCATATAATCTGGATGTGAGAAAGGGAAACCTTGAAGATTTCCTAGTCACAATCCAGAGGCAATTCAAAGTGGCCGGATAACTGTAAATGCAATATGTCTGGCGGCTCTCCTCAGACATTCTTCCTTCCCGAACCTCGTGTGAAACCCACAGGAAATCTGCGGGAACCCGTTAGTTGGTCTATGTCTACCGAACAGCCTCTGGTTCGGGGCTCTTCTGAAATCTACAGTTGTAGAGTGTTACAGTTCAACTTTTTCCAACTCTCCCTGTCTTGCTTTCCCAATTACCCCCTCCCACCTCACCCCATAATATTAAAAAACAAACAAACAAACCGCATACCTGGTACACCAAGACCACCCAATCCGGTCCCAGGGACGCCTGGCAGAGAAAAAGAAAGGGAGGGATACGACTCAAGCATGCAGCCAGTAAATTTCCTTAACATTCCCACTGCATGCTACATGCTAACTCTGATCCTTGGTAGACGGTCCAGAGAGAAAACCTCCTTCCACGGAAATAGGAACATCCTGTTTATGGCACTCCCATTAAATAGCTATGGGGTTTGTGCAGGCACCTTCTTGTTAATTAAGCCCTGAAGGTGGTGGGCACAGGGTGGCACGCTGGGCCCAGCCTTGCGGGACCAAGGGGAAAATACAGAACAGATCCGTCCGTTTCTCTCCCAAGTGATAAATCCCTCCACCTCCAAAGTGATCCGGTGCCACAGATCCCTAAGGCGGGATCTCAAACATTTCTCCCCCAAAGTTCACGAACCATATTTAGGTGGCTTGGCCCCCGGCTGGACTCCGATCTGCGGGATCCCTGCGAGGCAAGGAGAAAGGGTTGGTCAGAATCCGGCCGTGTCAGGATCCTGTGTCAGGATCCTGAGCTTTCCTGATTCTCCAGGAATAACACTTCAGCTCAGGAGGAGAAAGAGGTAAGGAGGGGCTCACCTGCACCGGGAACGCTCCCTGGCACGACTCCGCCCCCTGGCACGACTCCACCTCCTGGCACGACTCCGCCTCCTGGCAAGACTCCGCCCCCTGGCACGACTCCGCCCCCTGGCAGGACTCCGCCTCCTGGCACGACTCCGCCTCCTGGCACCACTCCACCCCCTGGCACGACTCCGCCCCCTGGCACACCTCTGCCTCCAGCACCTGCAGAGAAGTCGGAAAGATTTCTAGCGGATGGGAAACACATTTCAAATTTAACACATTTTAAATGCAACACACTTTAAATTCAATGCATTTAAAGAGGAGAGACCAACGAAAAGATTTCCCCACCTCTGGTCCTTTTCCATTCTACTCCCCCCTACTTTAATACAGCTTAATGAAATACAGCCGAACATGCCCGGCTTCGCTTGAAATATGCACAGACCCAGCTCTGAGTCACGGGGTTTACCGGCGTGCAGTGATAAAACACTGCTGGAAAAGGGATTATGTGTGAATGTCCGACGGCTCCCCGCCTTCTAGTGGTCCCCACCAGCCAGCAGTCTGAACCAAAGAAGTCATGAACAGAAAGGAAATCAAGGCCGCTACGCAGGTCAAAACAGGAGATGGGTCCACCTTGGGCCCGAGCAACCCTGCCCAAAGAGGGGGGGCAGTTAGCAGGCGTGGGAGGCACAGAGGGACAACCACATAAAAAGGACTCACCGTATTTGGCAGCTTTTGCAGCTGCTTTAGCCGCCGCGGCTGCTCCAAGACCCCCGGGCACTGGAGGGACAAAGCAGAAGACTTTTCAAAGCGTGTAGGAGGATCCGGGAAATGGCAATGGGGGGGTGCAGGAAATAGATCACATTTTGGACCGCCATGCTACCCCAGCCCATAGAAGCCAGAGTCCAGCTCTAAGGGTGTGATCCACAAGGAAATAGATCACATTTTGGACCGCCATGCAATTGATTTCCTGGCGATCACATGACGCATTGGAAAATGCGCTCCAGCCTGACCCCAACCTGTCCCCAAGTTCTGGCTTTTTGGGGCCAGCTGTAGTGGCTCTGTTTTCGAGGGCCAGCCTGGAGCAGTTCCCCAGTAAATGGAAGTAACCCTTTAACGGCGATTGCTCCCATTTAAAGCAACCCTTTCTGGTGTGATCAGGCTGTGTGCCACCCTCTGATCGCACCCTATGTTTCTGCGGCTGGGGGAACTGCCAGGGTTTGGGCATCCCATCTCCACCCGTTTTTCCACCTGCAACGTCCACTGATCTTTAGAGAAATCTGTTAAATTTAAAGAAACAAATCCTACTGTAATAGTCCTATAACGTTCAATATATTGTTTATTGGTCTTTGGGGGTTCTCGTTTTCTGTGCTATTACTTGGAAAATCCAAATAAATATGTGTTGTTGTTTTTTAAACAAAGACACGATCCACGCTGAGATGCAGGCTGCTTACCTCCACCTCCTGGAACAAGCCCGCCACCGATGCCAGGGACCAAACCACCAGTGGCAGCTCCGGGCACGAGACCTCGGCCGGCACCAGCTCCTGCTCCAAGGAAAGCCCATTTTAGATAGAAATGTGTGATCATTCAGAGCCCGACAGGGAAGCCCAAGGTCCCAGAAAGAAACAGATAAAAACATGGAACTCTCGGTCTGTCTGTGCATTCAAACTGTGGGGGTCAGAGAGGGCTCGGACATCTGAGCCAAAAGTTGGAAACTTTTTGGGGCTGGGCTGTAACTACAAGAATCCTAGAACTAGTATGAACTACTTTTGGGAACTGTAGCTCAAAAGGAGAATTTATCCAAGTTTAGACACTGGTGGTGCTCTTGAGCAAACTTTTTTCCAGTGTAGGGGGGTATGTGGATCCTTGTTACCCGCCTCTCCTGGATGCTGCTTCCTTACTGAAAACCAAGTCTGCAGCATCTACAGATTTATCGGGCTGTCTGGCTTCCCCTTTCTCCCTTCAAGTGCGTTTCAGAAAGGGACCCTTTTCCCTCTGACAACACCACCAAAAACACACGATAGGGACCTGTTTAGCCTGTGGAAAGGATGACAGAGGGGAAAGAGGAGAGCCCTTTTCAAAGACTTGACAGGAAGTCCTACAGAGGAGGGGCAGGATCTATTCTTGATCACCCCAGAGAGCAGGACAGGCAACAATGGGCTCAAGTTCCAGGAAGATGGGTTTCCATTGAAAACCAGGAAAAACTTCTTATCCATTAGAGCAGTACGACAACGGAGCCTATGACCTGGAGAGGAGGTGAGCACTCTACCGCTGGAGGCGTTCGAGAGAAAACTGGGCCACTCTCTGCTTTGACTTGGATTTCTGCACTGAGCACAGGGTTGGGCTTGATGACCTTAAGGGGCCCCTTCCAAGATTCCATGATTCCAATATCTGCACCCATCTGGGTGCAGAGTAAAAACATCTGTTCTTCGACAGGCCACTCCAAATTCAAATTGCCTGAGGAGTGCGGAGATGTGTGTGTGTGGGGAACCCGTGTCAAAATGTGGGCCCTAAGGAATGTTGTACCCATCTTTAAAGACTAGAGGAAGGCAAAAGCCACAAAGCAAACACCGAGGCACTCGGAAGCTTCCGGAAGGTCTACTCACCATACGCTCCGGCTTTCGCTGCTGCCTTAGCTGCTGCCGCCGCCGCCGCTCCTGTGGGTACACACAGAGAACCCCGGTCAAGGCACGTGGCGGGATCCCTACCTTGGTGGCACTCATCTCCTCATAGGAACGTACCTGGGACGCCACCGACGCCAAACCCACCAGGTAGGCCACCGACACCACCCCCTGGGAGGCCGCCCACGCCGCCGGGGACTCCGCCGATGCCGCCGGGGACAGCTCCGGGAACCTGACCTGGGGAGCAAAAGCAACATTGGAAGCCGAGCGGTGGATTCAAAACACACACTCATTCCTTTGTTCTCTGGAGTTTAAGCATGACATGACTTCAGGGAATTTCCAAGCCCCGCTAGATTCCTCCCTGCAGAGTCAAACCAGGTCTGTTGGCTTGGGTGAACTCTGGGGTAGCAACACCATCGTCCACAATGCCGGGGGGGATAGGAGACCCATTTAAAGGAGGCCGAAAAGTGGGACCCTAAGCTTGGCCCTCCAATCCCTGCATCCGTCTCCCACAACGTGCCAACCTGAAGCAACCAACTCACTTTCTGGACTGTCACAGCAATCCTATCTGAACCCACGACGCCGGGGGATAGGAGGCCTATTTAAAGGAGGCCGAAAGGTGGGACCCAAAGCTCGGCCCTCTGATCCCTGCGGCCGTCTCCCACAAAATGCCGCCTGAAGCAACCAACTCACTTTCTTGACTGTCACAGCAATCCTATCTGAACCCACATCCCCTTGGCATCCATAAAAATAAAAGGCACAGAAATCTGGATTCTACCCAGAAGCCAAATGACAGGTCGAGCAAGCGGCTAATAATAGAGAAAAGCACTCAGATTTCCATCGTGGCTTCCTAAAAACAATGCAAGCCTTTTATTCAAAAAGAGAATGAGAAGCAACGAGAATCCGACTGGAAACATATGAGGGCGCTAGCTGGATTGCCTATATTGTGGCAGCAAACGGCTAGAATCTAAGCCGTCGTCCCCTCATTCCAGGTCATGTGCTAGTCATGCCACTTGGCACGAGACCAGGAATGCGAGAGGCAACTTTCAAATTAGCAGCCGTTCACGGCCAGAGCTTCGGCGATCACACTTAACGCTAGGAAAAATGACTGACAGGGCTTTGACCGGTGGCCTGTCCTTTATTTTGACGCTGAACGCATGTGCCAGAACCCACACCAGGCCTTAAATCCTGGAAATGTCCGGTAGGAACCGAAAGCTACATCCCTCAGATTTTCCTGAGGACTGTGGCCGGGGCCTTTGCTCCTGGAGTCAACAGATTAACCTTCCACCATCTGACGGCTTCCTGGGGACACAAATCCAGTCGTCCAGTGTAACTCAGAAACTGCACATGAACAATGGCTGAGCCTAGGGCTAAACTCCACCAAGAGACGGAGGGCCTTACCATATTTTGCTGCTTTGGCAGCGGCCACGGCCGCTGGACTCAGTCCTGGCAAAAAGAAGCAGAAAAACAAGCTGAGTTAGGAAAAAAAAGACGAAACTGGAGCCTCTACATCACAGCAGTCTTGGTGCCATTAAGGGTCGGTTCCCCAACCGATAACCCGCTCGCCCCAAAAACATCCATTTCAAACTTAGCTGACAAGAGGAGGGAGGGAGGGAGGGAGGAAAGTTTGTGAAGGGGGGGTCTCCGTCTTGATTGGGTCATAAAGTCCCATTAGCTCTACAAAAGACCTGCCCCTGGTGCAGGTAGAAGCTTCTACAGCTTCTCGGGCAATATGGACCCACCAGGCCATATGTGTTTTTTTGATGGTAGATGGCAGCTGGACTACACATCGCAGAATCCCCTACCTCACATTGGCTGGGGGATTCTGGGACATGGAGTAAGGAATTTTTCTGAAATCTGATTGGCTGACGAACTGAGTTTGGTTTGAGATGGATTTGGTTTCTTCTTCTTTTGATTGGTGAGCTCAGTGGTTTAGGTCTCTGGTTGTGGAGCCAGAGGTCGGGCGTTCAATTCCCCCACTGAGCCTCTCCGGAGAGATCAGCCAGCCTGGGTGGCCTTGGGCAAGCTGCACAGTCCCAGGGATACCACCCCCAGAAGAAAGGAGAGGTAAATCACTTTCGAGTACACTGGAAAACTCTGGAAAAGGTCACCATAAGTCAGAACAGAGTTGACGGCACATTATTCCTATTCTTATTCAAAAATACCAGGCACAGTCAATCAAAATTATAAAAAAACACTGACGGGTATTATATAACAGATACAAGTTTTAACCTCAAAAAAAACCCCTAAGTATCTGTTAAGTATCGGTGCAGTATGTAGGCTGTTCCTAATACTGTACTGCCATTTTTTGTAGTTCTGATGGTGGTGTGATTTCTGAGACCTGCAACTGCTTATAATACTATGTGAAATTTCTTGATATTGTTCCCAAAGCCCCGATGACATAGGGGACCACTGAAGGGTGTTTCATCCACAATAGAGATGTTTCGATGGCCAGAACTCTGTCTTTTGTTGATTTTTCCAATTTTTTGTTTTTCAACTCTGGCATCTCCTGGAATTGCAATGTCAGTGATCCAGACATTTCTTCATTCTACACTACTATGCCTGGTTGTTGTTGTTGTTGTTGTTGTTGTTGTTGTTGTTGTTGTTGTTGTTGTTGTTGTTGTTGTTGTTGTTGTCGTCGTCGTCGTCGTCGTCGTCGTCGTCGTCGTCATCATCATCATCATCATCATCATCATTATACAGGTTTGATGATTTGAGATCGGGGAAGGAAGCCTTTATTCCCCCGTTTTCCTCTTTCTCCCCCACCGCTAGCCAAACCACCCACCCACTTACCTCCCACTCCTGGGCCGACTCCTGCACCGGGGGCCACGCCAGGAAGTCCGCCAACTCCGGGCACCCCAACGCCGCCTGGGACGCCGAGGCCACCCAGGCCAGCCCCAGGAACGGTTCCTGCCGAAAGGGAGGAAGAGAGAAGGATCAGACCCTGAAGGAGAACAGCAGGTGAAGAGCGTGGAGGTCAAATGGACGTCCCACCCGCCCTGCGTGCTGATCCTCTGGGGTGTGATCCTGGCATCCAATGGGCAGAACCCAATATGGGTTGAGCCATCCCATTCCAGAGGGGCTGAGAATCCAGGCCTGCTTTTAGTATCCCCTTTGCAGGATCTCTCCAAGGTCCTGAACCTACGTTGGGGTGGGGGACACATTTCAGGACCTTTTGGGGCCTCTGGCAGATTAGAAAGGGGGCACAGACTGGAAGCACGTCTGCCCACACCACCTTATAAGATTCATTATGCGACTTATGCAATCCTGATTCAGCCTATATTTCTTTCATGTTGTGTTTATGGCCGTGGCCCTCAAAAAAAGGTTGAGAATGGCATGAAGCACAAGTGATGGAATCACGGCGTCTGTGAAATGGGACTCAGGCGCTTTGGCTGGTAGCAGAAACAATGAGAGGGCTGGCCAGAATCCTACTGAGGATTCACACCAGTCTCAACTTAACCTCATACACTGTAGCCATGAATTTATCACTAACTGTCGTGTTGCCGCCGTATCCCTGGCCAGGTGTCGGTTGCACGACTTGGTGTGTGGCTGGGAATGCAAGCAGTCGCTTTTTCATGACAGGCAAACCCCTGCCACGATTCTGGCTATTCTGTAGGATCCTGGCCAGCGTCCCCTATTTTATTCTGGTTCTCCGCCTCTGAAGCAGCGAAGTGGGAGAAGTCCTGAGAGTAACTGCGCCTTCAGATTGATCTGGAACTTGAAACGGCTGCTGCGGGGAGCATGGCGCTCAGCACCCCCATGTGAGAAAGGAACATGTTTCATTCTTCCATTTCTGATCCCATAAGGAAGTGAGGGGCTTACCGTATTTGGCTGCTTTTGCTGCTGCCACGGCTGCCGGGTTCACTACTGGGAGAGGCAAAGAAGGCGAGCATTTGGTTAGAGATGGAACAGGGGCCGAGTTCTTATTACCAAATTCAAAATAATCCCTATTCAAATATATTAGACCCCTCTGGACCTTTTCCATGTGCATCCCTTCTAGCTTCCCTTTGATTTTCCTGACATGGGTCGGTGGTTGTGAGCATTCCTTGTGGCTACGACAGCTTACAGGGGAGCTTGAGCGCCATGGGGGAGTCAAGTCCTGTTAGCTTTGCAAAAGACCTGCCCCTGAGGCAGATCTTATTGCAACCGCTTCCTGGGTGATATGGATCCAGACAGAGGTCTGCATTTCTCGACTCTACACGGGGGGGGGGGGGCCAGACCATGGAGGGACCCCA